TTACATTTTTCCAGAAATCTCACCTGTCCCATATTTCAGCCTGTGTTTAACAACATGTTCAAGCTTTAGAGTCCCCTGTACTATAGTTAGGTCCAGCTGTGTTTTCCTAGATGTGGTATTTTTAAGCTTCCCTATGAAGCATTGCTTGGCTGATTGCTTCTGAAATGGGGGCCACCCTGAAAGAAAAAGGGAAAGCCAGCCCCAGTCCATGCCCAGCAAGGGTTACCCAAGCGAGCGGCACAGGTCGTACTGCTCCGCCTGGACACCTCCAAGCTGCAGCACAGCTCCTGCCTGCATTGTGGGAAACAAAATTTTTGAGCATGTTTTACAACAGACCTATATCTAAAAATAACATGGTTAGACACCTCCCACACACACTCAAAATATTAATCTTTAAGCTTCAAAAACACAGGGATTTCCTACGTGGGCTAGAGAATAACCTCTGGTAGGGAAGCCCAATACAAATCTGAGACCGTGATGCTTGTTACAGGCATTGAGCAGCGAATCTTACTGGGAACCTCTTCCTGGTATTTTTGCTTCTGTTCAAATGCATGCTCCTGCACAATCCCAACAACCTTGCTGGCCTCTTGAAAATCCCATTCCCAGATGTGTTTGGCACAGAAATAAATGAGTACAGACTCAGAACAAGAAGGAATATTAGGAATTGACTGCAACATCACTTAAAGTTTCCATTACAAGTTTTTCAACCTCCAGGTAACTTTAATTTACACCAGGGACTGGGGAATGGAATTATTTCTGCCATTAGCCCAGGATCCCTGCTGCACGCAGAAACCTGCAGCTCCAAATCCAGCCCCCTATTTTATTTATTTTTATTTCATTTTCTCTAGGGTTTAACAGGAGCAGCAAGGAAGCTTATCGCCATACCATGCCTTGCAAGGACAAGTGGCACGTGGGAATGTGCCTATTGAAAACACAAGGGTCCGCAGGACAGTAGCTGGAAGAGACCCACGTCCCTCATTTCAGCATCTCATCCAGAGATGCACGCTGAGGTGAACATCCCCGCGTCGGGGGCCCATCTGCCCACAGATGCAGCAGCTGCCTGCTGTGCGGGTACCCTGTGTATACGCACACATAGGCAGTTCGTGTCGGTGCCTGCTCTGTGCGTGGTTTGCCCCCTCACCATCTCACCCACTCCCCTGGGCACCGCCGTTGCGAGCTGTGTGGGGGGATTGCCTCACCTCCTTACTGCAAAAATAAACGCCAGGTCCCAGTCACACACGCGCTGTGTGAGCCGGTGGCTGGGACCTCCCAGCACAGGGAGAGGACGAGCCTGGAGCGCAGGCATAGCCCAAAGCCTGCGGCCAGGACTGCAGCTCCCTGTCTGCAATTCCCAGGAGGGACGGAGACCCCTGGGAATTGGGGGTGGGGTCCTGTCCCTGCCCTGGCTGGTGTCCCTGCCATCCCCTTTGCACCAGAACAGGGCCAGGTGGCGGCAGTCACTCAGGGGTGCCGTCAGCCTTTGCAGAGGGTCGTCCAGACCCTATGGGGCTGTTGCAGGCAGGGTCATCTGAGCTCCTAGCTCTGCTCTCCACCTCAATAGGGTCATCACAGGGACCCCACATCGAGATACGCCCCTCTGCCTCCAAATGCCAAAACCTCCATATGCAAACCACCTATATAACTCATCAGGGTAGAGCAGACCCACGGCACAGTCTTATGGGCCCCAGGGAAAGTACACTCTGAAAAATACACCCTTTAAATGTTGTGGTCCTACAGGCCATACCATGGGGAAGAGCAGGCACCTGCACTGCCTGTTGCCCACACCAACCCCCGTGTACCTGCAAATGACATGGAGGAAGGGAGATATAGCAGGGCACCAGTGGCCGTAGGAACAAGGCAAACAGTAAGCCTAATGATAAGGGAGGAGAGTACTGCTCATTGCTATGGTTTCTAGAAACACTCTCATAAAAACCAGTATTGCGGTGAAAGAGTGGCATGGAGTGAGGTTCACCTAAATGGTGTTGTCAAACCATCCCTGCTCCAAGTCTCTCCTCCTGCTGAGCGCCCCTTGCACAGCTGGAAGGAGCGAAATTGCTGAAGACTGCCCCCTCCCTTGTCTCTGATTTTTTCTCTTTTATGATGTTTTATTTTAGGGAGCACTCAAAACTTGGGATTTATTTTGTTGGGCTCACATGCAAGTGGTGTTGGCCCAGTGACAGATTTCTGAAGTCAGCACTCATACTAACAGTCACCCCAAAAGGAAATTCCATTTAGAACAAAAAACTCCCTTTAGGATGAAAAACTAATTTGTGCTGTTGGTTGCCGGCTCTTTGTTTTTAAGTGAAAAGGAAAAGAAAAAAATACCCACATCCTTTAAAAGTCCTGCAATATCAGAATACAAAGTTGCAGCCTGTTATTCACCCGCAGCGAGAAGGTCTGTACCAGCCATGGTAATTTCTCATTTCCTTGCTGGGAAGGAAGTGAGAGCACCACAGCTCAGCTAAAAGCCCCGTGGGACCGGAGGAGGGTGGTAAGGGAGGACACAGAGGCTAGAGAGGAGGAAGGAGCCCTCCAAGCCCCTTCTGGCCATGGGCACTTGCTGACCCTGAGCGCCCTACGCCGTTACCAAAATGTCTAGCTAGGTGCCAGCCTCAGAGAAAGAAACGCATTTACGGGGGAACTCCAGATAATTTTCAAGGCTTTGCTATATAAACATATTAACAACATTAAAGTAATTTGCTGGCAGAAAGCAAAAAGCGTATTTCTTTCAGTGTGTTTGTTTTAAGATGCCAATCAAATGCTCTTTCCGCAGCAAAAACTCAGTGGTAGATTTGCCTTTGTGCATGCAGTTGGGATCGGGCCCAAGAGGTGACAGCTGACAGATAAGGAGTTAATTAATATCCAGTAAGAGGCAGGAGGAACGAATGTTATCGGCCGTTTCACCTGACTCATGCGGTGGGCCGATAATCTACTGAGAAGAGCTATGGAGGTGTGAAAGCAGCGCGGTCCCCCACTCAGGATGACCGCTTTCCTTTCGTGCATGGGCAACATTTCAGCCAATCTCACCCCCTGCACTGCGAGAAGAAAGCTGATGGAAAAATTGCTAATGACTTCGCTGGACCAGGTGTAACGATGGACATTTGGGAGCACTGTCAATGTTGCACATAAGAAGAAAACTGTGTTTTTAAGTTTTAAATCTGATGTTTTTTCCCCAGTGATGGAGGCAAAAGGCGTGATGCAAACTGCTGAGTGCTGGAACACAGTCCTCTTCTGCCTGCAGCTTGGTATCTCGTGAAATGAAGGATACACAAAATGTTTGGTTTACGGATCATGACTTTCAACAAGAAGTGTCATCAATATATTAAATAGGGATCGGCATAAATAAAGTATTAAAAAAGTTAAACAGCAGGAAAATGAGCTCTATTATCTTTTTCCCTTGTAGACCACAACTCTTCCTACAGGATTCAAAATACTTTTCAACAAATAAATTACCTTCAAAACACAACCATGGAAGTTAAAAGTTCTTGCTTTGAACTTTGCCAAGGAAAGAGGCACAAAACAAACTCATATATAAAAATCAAAGGCATGAAGACTCAATTCTGTCAAAGATCAAAAAAATGCATTGAATCCCTTTTCTGGTGAGGAACAGGAAGAATTCCCTGGTGGTTCTCCCATGGGAAAAGGGACGCTGCAGAGCACCACGGGGGCTGTGGCTGGCCATGCCTGCTCCACAGGTGCCTCCTTTGGGGAGGGTGTGGAGCCAGTCCCACCATCCCACTGCTTGTGTCCCCCTCCCTGGCACTGCTCTGCTTGTGTTCAAGCATTGGGAAGTAGCTAGAAGTTAAGAAATGTTACAGTAAATGGTAGAAAAAGATCCAAAAGGGAGATTAAAGCCTGACCAGGCTGTCCAAGTCCCAAGGCCTGGTGTCCTGACACAGCCCAAAGGCTGCATTAGAGGTCACCTTTGAAATCAGGAGAAAAACAATTGTGAAATTAATAGGTCAAACGTGGTGCTTCAGAAGTTTGTTTCTGGTAAAACACATGCCTGTGGTGTTGGACAGGTTGCAAAGCAATACCCTGCTCTGGGGACCAGGCAGAGGGGACAGGGGCAGCTCCCATCGTGGCCCCCCAGGGGCAGGACCTGCAGGCTGGCAGGGGGTCTGCTCCAGGAGCCTGACCTTCCTCCTTGCGCAGGACCTTGAGTCCAAAATATTGGCTGGGGCACTCAGCTCTGACCCCTGGACGAGCACAGTGCCTGTGGGTCAGGCTGAGATCATACATAAACTCTCCTTTCCTCTCTCGAGTCTCTTTATGCTGCTGCCTCTCTTGTTTTTTTGTTTGTTTGTTTTTTCCCCCTGATCTTACCTTCTTTTCCTATTGCAAACTGGTGTAAATTGCCTCATGTGTGGAAACAAACAGCGGCCTCAGCCAGGCTCGGTATTTCACAGTCACACCTTCTACTTTCTGTGCTTACGTATTTCTTCAGGTCTGTAGCAGCAGTTCTTGGTTCCCCAGCACGGTTCACGCTGTGGTCTCCTGAACCTCGGAGGTGTCACATCTCCAACCCTCCTGCCTTACCCATTTCAGAGTAAGCATAACCAAAACCTTAAGGCCAGGGAAAAATTCAGGCAGAAAAGATACACTTGGATAGGAAATATATGCATATATTTTTCAGTAGTGGCAAAAATTTAAAGCTGCCCAGAAGTCTGAAATACTCTAATGGCAATGAAAGCAGCTGGGGTTGCCAGAGCCACCCAGCAGCATCCAATTAATAGATTATGGGATCACGTAATAGATATGTATCTATAGGTATGTAATAGATACAGGATCAATAGATCATGGGAGCCTAGAAAGTTATCTCAGGGATATCAAAATATGCACGGCAACATTTCCTAATTAAACAAAGGAAAACCCAACCTCTGGGTGAAACATTGGATGGAACAATGTTATCAGACCTCGCTGGGCAAACATGAGGAGCGTATAAAACGAGCTGCTCCGAGGGAGAACAGCACCTCTCCTCCACCCGCCTTCCAAGAGCAATGGATCTCAAAGTGATCTGCGTGCTCTCCATCGTCCTCATCATAGCCCTCAGCACCTTGGCAGAGGGAAGGACATTACCAAGTAAGTACATTCATCTTCTGTTGCCTTCACAGGTATGTATGTGGGCCTGATCCTACTGACTGTAACTGCAGCAAGACCATGTCTCCAGTTTACGTATCAGACAGCGAATGTCTGGTTCTGGTACTATTACCAAAGTTGGAGTCTACTTTTTCATTTTTTCAGAGAAATCTATGGCAAAATAAAAAAGACTGCAGGTGTGCTCTTGTCTTGGTGGAATAAGCAGGAACCTGCTGCAAAGGTAGAGGGACAGACATGTCCAGGAGCTTGCTAGAACAGGACCAGGACAGGAACAGGAGCTAGCTTTGTCTAAATAGTCTTCTGACATTTATTTTATGCTACTTTACCACATGAATACAATTTTTTGGAAGTCTATCTGCCTCCTCAATAAATGACAAGTCATTTAGACAACTTAAGAACTGGAAAGCAAGTAACTCAATGGCAGACACCTAAGGACATCTCCAGAATTTCTTGGTTGCGGATGACTGTGCAATAGGCTTAAAATGTTAAAAGTATAGCTGCAACTATTTGCATGTAATCCTACATTTTTATAGGCACCTGACGATAATGCAAAGATTTTGTATTTTTACACCTGTTCAAATATCTACTGGACCCTTAACTCTTTCTTTTTTTCACATGGGATGGGCAAAGCAACAAACATTTACTAGCATGACATTTGAAGTTATGGGGTTTTACCATTTGATGTGGTCTATTTGAAGTCCAGAGACCCCACTGTGCTGGGCTGGCTCGGCTGCAAATGAGACCACAGATTCTCAAAGGGTGGAGTACAACCCTTACTGAAATCGGTGGGAGTTTAAAAGCAGCTTTTAAACCGCACGTATCGGAGTTTCCCGGATCTTTGCCGGCGGCGG